GGTGGGGGGGTGTTGATAATGAACGTTGTCTGTATTACATATACGCATACATGTATCCGATACATAATAATTATTACGTAACGATTACAAACAATAACATAGTAATAATGTACGTTTAAAAGTCTAGTTACGCGTTAAAGTTTATTAGTTGATTTGCTAAAGCGAACGAAAAGTAAAGGAAGTATATATATAACTCATTATAGTGCCATCGTAACTGACTAATTAAAAGAAATACCAATTTTTTATGTTTTAAGTAGCCGTAAAAACTACTCCCGTAGGCTCTTAACGATTTGCGAGAAGTTTTCTTCTTCTTTTTCTTTTTTTTTTTTTTTCCCTTCGTTCTTATTCTTCTTTCTTCTTCTTGCGGCGTTCAAGACAAAGACTCGTTTCGCGTTCCGTTGTCGTTGATTATTGTCATTGACACCACGTGACAGGGGGCGTCGCGCGTGGGAGTGGGTCTCTTACGTCATAGCCATACGTACGCGATCCTTTCTCGTGTATTTGCACACGGAAACGATTTCCGCATATACACTTTTAGACACGCACTGTACACTGATACTTTTATCACACGCACAGATATATTTACAACCCCCCCAACTTACCCCCTCTTCAACCCCCTTGCCCATTGGGGGGGGCGCTCTTCCTCCCATACCACCCCTAACGCCGTACCCTCACGCGCGCGCCCACGCTTTCCAACATTTGGATTCATCGGCTGCTGACGATTTTGACAATTGAAAGGAGTCGCGTAAGTTGAAATTCTTTTTTCTTTTTTTTTTCTTTTCTTCTTCCTGCCCGACATACGATTCTGCACGCTCGACGTCGCGCGACGCTTACGAATAAATATAATGCGGTTGAATAATGTTGATTTTACATTATTACGTAGTAATGTTATATTATTATAGGATCGCAACTCTTTATTTGTACGTATCTCATTTTTCGGTGCTCGACATACCCAATTATTGTTACTACTATTATTACTATTATTATTATTATTATTATTATTATTACTGATTCTTACGATTATAATATCATATTGCCTATTGTCGATCGGTAATTATAATTATCAGAGTTATTGATTAATGATGGTTATTTGATATAATGCTCTATGCACATCACACGCATATACATACAATCATGTAAACACGTAAAACATTGTGGTTATATTTCAATGTATCAGCATAATGATATAATTATTGCGATGTTGCCCATAGAATACATTTTACTTGGTTTTTATATTTGGCAGTATTTCATTTATACGTCTTCTTATTCCATCGCTGTTTACCTTTGGCTCTCTTTGTTGCGTCTATCATTTTCTTTTCCTGTTTTCTTTACCTTTTTTTCCCTTTTCTTCTTTGTTCCGGCTTTCCCTTTACGCGAGTGCTCGGTTCTTTGGTGATTCTTTGTTGGTAACGCTTTGGGTTTTTTTTTTTCGTATTTTGTCGCGCTCAATTTGTTTTACACAATCGTATAATACGACGAGGGAAATGAAAATTGGGGTGAATAGGTTTTTTTTTTTTTGACGGAAGACGTTGTACGCTTATTACAAAATGCCACAATTGTTAACCGTGAAGATGTTGTTTTCCTCGAAACTAATTCTTTCGTTCTTTGAATAATTTTCGACTTCCGAAATACGCACGATAATATTATTATTGTATTAGGCTCATAATTGTTGTTAATTAGGAAAAAGTACACTATTTGTTATTGCTCGCCAGTGAAGAGATCTCGTGATGGCTTTCACGAGCAGGTATAGATTAGACGATAATCATGTAAATAAACGAATCCCACGTAATAACGTACTATTTACCAAGTTAATGATGGCCGAGATGGTTAAATCACTGCGAAGCTCATTTGACAAGGTTTTTTCAATTCCGACAGTTTGAATCGCGCGCGCAATCGGAATCCATCGTTTCCGGGCTGCACGCGAGTTTCACTCGCGAAGTTCCTGTCGTTGTTTTTCTCCCTGGGATGTAAATATGTAATATATATCGGGCTGTACTTACCATCACTTATTATCGGCACCTGAGCACTTACAATATTCACGAAAGATACGAGGCATCGCATATATACATATATATTTTATTAATCGATTCTCATTGACGACTGATCAATCGATGTCCGTTCGATTACGGAAAACAATGTTGAAAGTCGATCGTACGAAATATAAATGAATACACGTATACCGAATTAACTTTACACGCGTATCATTGTCAAATGGGCTTCGATGTTCTTCACTGTTCTTCCACCGTTAAGCAAAGGAGGAAGAAAAAGAAAAACAGTTAAGGGAAATCATTAAACGACAGCGAATCATTTCGATACCTACGAACGTGATCCGTTCCATCGAGTAAAAGTATAACGAATAAATCCTCCGATGTTGTATTTTACAAAGACACTATTCTTCTATGGCAGAATCGCGTAAGTCTCCGATGTACAGTTCATTTAATACAATTTGTACTTAGACATGTCGGAAACTGTCGTGACGAGGTGTAACGTTTGTTGGGAGAATTAGTTTTGTGAAAAGGGATAAAAGTGACGCTACAAAGATCATCTCGAGGGAACGGAATTATGGTAAATAATTGCTTTTCCTTGTTGGATTGCGCAATTGGTGACGTGCAGTTTTTAAAAGAGACAAAATACGAACGTTGAGGGAATGCAGGATAATCTTTTTGTGTCTTTTATTGTAATTAACGATTATTTTGTACAATTCCTTTTGAGGGTTATGATTATCCGTTATGCGGAATTCAAAATACTGGCCGTTATTTTGCAGAACAAGGTAATTTCGTTCGCGACCGTTAACTCTTTACGTTAATCGTGTGTCAGATCGTTTTGTGTTTTAATGTTAAAGATTTTTCAAAATAACGTCAAGTTGAATACTCGCGCGTAACAGTTGGTGCTGTCTTACGACGGGAGTTTTGAGAGTTCGTTACATACTAGAGACAGCGACGTACTGTCTCGGTGTTAACCTCAAATGAAAATCCTTCGCGACTTAACCGTGTTGTCTTTGTGTTGCATATTTATCATTGTGCTGTGAGAACTGTGCCAGTCGACAATTATTGTGTATTGGGTATATGCAGCTGTCTGTGTTGCGAAATTCGTGATTTAACGTCGTTCTTAAGAATTTACAAGTGCATGATCGGGGACTGTGTGAATGATTCTCGACGTAAACTCTAATACCGTAAATTCTCTTTGATCGAGTGTCAATGACTGTACATAAATATCGATTTGATTGATATTACCTAATTGCCTTATACGTTTTACGTGTACTGTATCCATTTGACAATGTTGACTTATACATTTTTCAAAAATCATTCGAACCTCTCTCCCTGTTAGTTTATGACGGAGATACACGTCGACGGTGCGACTTCTTTTTTTGTCAGCAAACACACTGTTATCTCTCCTTACGTATTTCTGTCTCGTCTACACCTTGACTAATATGTATTTCGAAAATATCTTGAGCACAGATAATCGGTACACACTTCAGCTGTGGGTCGATAACGTTCAGTGTGATGTATTGTGATTGCACTGGAGTACTGATGTAATTTTCATTGTGATGTCCATTAACGTACTTTATATGTTCGTAAACATGGAAGATCGATCGGTGATCGATAAGATCGTTGATCTAAGGAATGGTGCTTAATGTAGTGTCTGAGGATACAAAGTGAAGAAAAAGTTGTGCGATATTCTGACCAAAGAGTATTACGCGCTGTGACTTTGTATTAACGTGCATCGAAACTTTGTCGATTCGTTGAAAATTCCGATTCTGTATTTGTACTTTCTCGAAATTGCTGTCTTCGGTCGCTATTATTTGAAAATTCAAAATCTTATCGGTATACCCTTCTGTTTTTTCACAGTTTATCCGGTCTGTCTTCTATGTATGCGAATATATATCTGTCCTCTGTAGAAATGCCTTAATATCACGTGCCTCAATTAATATTTAAATTTGTTCACTTGCTTATATCTACTACTTATTAGTCTATGTAACAAATACGTGTAATATCGACTTATTCTTTGTACTGCTCTTGTAAATACATTAAGAATAATCACTGTCACTCTGTTGTCTATGTTTACAATGGTCTCAAGCTTGCAGTCATGCGGTTCTTATGTATTTTTGTAAGAATTTACTTATTTCACCCAATTCCGTCAATAATTTACTTATGCAAATATTCCGTATGACTGCAACTACGAAATTCTCTGTTCACTGCTTAACACTCGTTATCTTTCCCTTTTTCGCCTTTACAGCAAAGAATCGGTACTGAACAAAAACTTTTGTTGGCAGACGAAAATAATCTTCAGAACAAAAAAAAATGGATGGTTTGTGTCTTTTGGCAGGCTCTTAAGAATTTCAGACTTAAATGGTAAGATAACAGTTAATTTCTTATAATCTAATGGCAGACTTGTACATGACTTGAATTTATTATCCAGCATTAATTTTCATAATGAAAAAGGACTTAATGTTTGCATGAGATGAATATAATTGTTACTAATCCAATGGGAGTATTCACTGTTCTCAATATGAAACTGACGAACATAGTTTTCCCGAATAACTGGAATTAATGTTTACTATAAATGTAAGTTTAGCTGACTATTTATGTCGTAACTCGACACCTCTGTATGGCATGGATATGCTACAGGTTAGCTTCTCTGTATTGAATATAAATAATTCAGTCTCAGGTAAGGTTGACGGCTCTTGATCAAAGGACTTCACGCAGAGATGAATATAGGGAGATTGCCAATGAGCCGATTTTCATGGTCCAAGTTTTATTTCGATGTCGACGCGCCACCTGATCGGAGGACCCACGAACACCCGACGTCATTTTTGGTCAAGTATATGTATATAGTAATACTACGTATGATATTCGTGAGATCCATGAGACGCATGGATTTATACCTGGTGGCAATTTAAAACGTGTGTATTCTGGTGTCGACGCTGCCACCTTGGAGCCTTGAACAAGTCTCACTTTTGTGGTTGGTAAAAAATTATATTTCGAAATTTATTCAAAATATAAAATTGGGGCTTAAGTAAAATCTCACAAAATACACGGAATAGATCAAAATTGAACTGAACTTGTAAAGTATTGAAAATAAATTGCGTTCAAACTGAAATATTATTAAATTAAATGTTTCGAATTTAAAATAATTAATTAAATCAATAGAGTTAGATTTTAATACTTGAAAATCAGGAATTCTGGCAAAGAACATTTAGAAGTACTCGAAGCTGCGCGCAAATGCGTCGCGCAGACTCGGCGAGTGGGGAGAGCCGGGAAGTGGGGGAGCGCCGAAGGCAGCGCCGGACTCAGCGCTCATTCTTCCTCGAGCCGGTCTCCTATACTGGTCTCTTGGAATCGAGTCCTCTTATACATTTCGAACCTTCTTCTATTCTTATATTTATTTCTCCTTTACTTCCTTATTTCTTTATCTTTCATTCTTCACTTTCTTATTTATCTCTTTCCTCATTTCTTCTCGACTTTTATAACTTTATTCCTTACTTTTCTACTTCTTCATTTCTTTCTTATTACCTTATTCTCGCTTCTTTATTTCTATATCCATTTACAACCTTCTTCTTCTTCTTTATTTATTTCTTCTTTACTTCCTTATTTCTTTATATTTCATTCTTTACTTTCTCATTTATCTCTTTCCTTGTTTCTTCTCTATTTTTGCAACTCTATTCCTTACATTTCTATTTCTTGACTTTTTAAATTTTATCTTCCTTTATAACTTCTGGTTTCACTCTGTTCTCTCCCTCTTTACATTGTGCTTGTCTTACTGCTTGTATTACACTTCCAATTCCTTTGGTCGGGTCGAGCATATTAATTCAAGTAGTGATATAAGAGT